CAGCCTTAGGGAACAGGGTGGACTAACCATGGGGCAGCCTTAGGGAACAGGGTGGACTAACCAGCCTTAGGGAACAGGGTGGACTAACCAGCCTTAGGGAACAGGGTGGACTAACCATGGGGCAGCCTTAGGGAACAGGGTGGACTAACCATGGGGCAGCCTTAGGGAACAGGGTGGACTAACCATGGGGCAGCCTTAGGGAACAGGGTGGACTAACCATGGGGCAGCCTTACTGAACAGGGTGGACTAACCATGGGGCAGCCTTAGGGAACAGGGTGGACTAACCAGCCTTACTGAACAGGGTGGACTAACCATGGGGCAGCCTTAGGGAACAGGGTGGACTAACCATGGGGCAGCCTTAGGGAACAGGGTGGACTAACCAGCCTTAGGGAACAGGGTGGACTAACCAGCCTTAGGGAACAGGGTGGACTAACCATGGGGCAGCCTTAGGGAACAGGGTGGACTAACCAGCCTTAGGGAACAGGGTGGACTAACCAGCCTTAGGGAACAGGGTGGACTAACCATGGGACAGCCTTAGGGAACAGGGTGGACTAACCATGGGGCAGCCTTAGGGAACAGGGTGGACTAACCATGGGACAGCCTTAGGGAACAGGGTGGACTAACCATGGGGCAGCCTTAGGGAACAGGGTGGACTAACCATGGGGCAGCCTTAGGGAACAGGGTGGACTAACCATGGGGCAGCCTTAGGGAACAGGGTGGACTAACCATGGGGCAGCCTTAGGGAACAGGGTGGACTAACCATGGGGCAGCCTTAGGGAACAGGGTGGACTAACCATGGGGCAGCCTTAGGGAACAGGGTGGACTAACCATGGGGCAGCCTTAGGGAACAGGGTGGACTAACCATGGGGCAGCCTTAGGGAACAGGGTGGACTAACCATGGGGCAGCCTTAGGGAACAGGGTGGACTAACCATGGGGCAGCCTTAGGGAACAGGGTGGACTAACCATGGGGCAGCCTTAGGGAACAGGGTGGACTAACCATGGGGCAGCCTTAGGGAACAGGGTGGACTAACCATGGGGCAGCCTTAGGGAACAGGGTGGACTAACCATGGGGCAGCCTAAGGGAACAGGGTGGACTAACCATGGGGCAGCCTTAGGGAACAGGGTGGACTAACCAGCCTTAGGGAACAGGGTGGACTAACCAGCCTTAGGGAACAGGGTGGACTAACCATGGGGCAGCCTTAGGGAACAGGGTGGACTAACCAGCCTTAGGGAACAGGGTGGACTAACCAGCCTTAGGGAACAGGGTGGACTAACCATGGGGCAGCCTTAGGGAACAGGGTGGACTAACCATGGGGCAGCCTTAGGGAACAGGGTGGACTAACCATGGGGCAGCCTTACTGAACAGGGTGGACTAACCATGGGGCAGCCTAAGGGAACAGGGTGGACTAACCAGCCTTAGGGAACAGGGTGGACTAACCATGGGGCAGCCTTACTGAACAGGGTGGACTAACCATGGGGCAGCCTAAGGGAACAGGGTGGACTAACCAGCCTTAGGGAACAGGGTGGACTAACCATGGGGCAGCCTTAGGGAACAGGGTGGACTAACCATGGGGCAGCCTTACTGAACAGGGTGGACTAACCATGGGGCAGCCTTAGGGAACAGGGTGGACTAACCATGGGGCAGCCTTAGGGAACAGGGTGGACTAACCATGGGGCAGCCTTAGGGAACAGGGTGGACTAACCAGCCTTAGGGAACAGGGTGGACTAACCATGGGGCAGCCTTAGGGAACAGGGTGGACTAACCAGCCTTAGGGAACAGGGTGGACTAACCAGCCTTAGGGAACAGGGTGGACTAACCAGCCTTAGGGAACAGGGTGGACTAACCATGGGGCAGCCTTAGGGAACAGGGTGGACTAACCATGGGGCAGCCTTAGGGAACAGGGTGGACTAACCATGGGGCAGCCTTAGGGAACAGGGTGGACTAACCAGCCTTAGGGAACAGGGTGGACTAACCAGCCTTAGGGAACAGGGTGGACTAACCAGCCTTAGGGAACAGGGTGGACTAACCATGGGGCAGCCTTAGGGAACAGGGTGGACTAACCAGCCTTAGGGAACAGGGTGGACTAACCAGCCTTAGGGAACAGGGTGATGTCGTTAGTCTATGAAAGCAATACACATGTATTACAACTATACATTGGTATCGATAGGTTGTGATAATTGTAAACGCTTGTATTACAAGTGTATAGCGGTAACGATAGTTTGTGATAATTGTAAACGCTTGTATTACAAGTGTATAGCGGTAACGATAGTTTGTGATAATTGTAAACGCTTGTATTACAAGTGTATAGCGGTAACGATAGTTTGTGATAATTGTAAACGCTTGTATTACAAGTGTATAGCGGTAACGATAGTTTGTGATAATTGTAAACGCTTGTATTACAAGTGTATAGCGGTAACGATAGTTTGTGATAATTGTAAACGCTTGTATTACAAGTGTATAGCGGTAACGATAGTTCAGGCCTGATCGTTAGGCTTGATACAGTGTTGTCGGAGACACGAAGTTGACAGGGGAGTGGTGAGGGGGGGGGGGTGGCTGATGCACGAATATTATGGAGGGGGGTGGCTGATGCACGAATATGGAGGGGTGGCTGATTTGTAATTCCAAGAAACGTTTCAGATTACGGTCTTGTACAAAACATGTAAGTCAGCAGTTTCCAAATAAGGGGGGGGGGGTAGCGCAACTCCTGGGAAGGCAAAGACTAGAGTTTAAATACCGGAGACATGAAAAAGGTCGTAGCAAAGTACCATCACATTTTTAAAAGACATGATATACTGCTGTAAAAAAGTAAATACTCCTATCATATAAACAACGATCCGGTTTAAAACCACGATCGCTGTGTCCCCGGCTATCGGTGCCATTATACGGCGTTTTTTACTTCCTACTTTATTTTTAGTTGCAAAATGGTTGGCCCACAAACTGTTCGCTCTTTTGTCGTGTAGAACAGTAGGGGTCAAGGTTATATTTCAGTTACAGTACAGTTACAAGTATCAATTTATATTAAGAGCGGGGGTGGGGGGTGGGGCATGATTGATCTTTTAACAACAAACCTTTGGGTAAAATTGATGTTATATAAAGAGAGAAGAGATGGGTTAGAGAGGACGTCCGACAAGCCACAAATACGTTGGTTTTCCTACTCGGGGAAGTTGGGACCATAAGTATTGAAGACGGGACCATAAGTATAGAAGATGGGACCATAAGTATAGAAGTTGGGACCATAAGTATTGAAGATGGGACCATAAGTATAGAAGCTGTGACCATAAAGTATAGAAGATAAGACCATAAGTATGGAAACTGGGACCATAAGTATAGAAGCTGTGACCATAAAGTATAGCTGGAACTTTAATGGAAGCTGGGATCATAAAGTATGACTGAATGGAAGCGGGGGGAGAGGGGTAGGTCGGCGATGACGGTCCGTGGGTGTAGAGGGGGGGGGGGGGGTGACGGTAGTAAGTACACACGAGCCTTCATGAATGGAAATGTATTCAAATGGCTTCAGCTCTACATTACAACAATGTCGGCAGTAAACTAGGATCAAATAACATTACTACACTATTGGCAATAACCTAGGATCAAACAATATTTCTACAATGTCGGCAATAAACTAGGATCAAACAATATTACTACAATGTCGGCAATAAACTAGGATCAAACAATATTACTACAATGTCGGCAATAAACTAGGATCAAACAATATTACTACAATGTCGGCAATAAACTAGGATCAAACAATATTACTACAATGTCGGCAATAAACTAGGATCAAACAATATTACTACATTGTCGGCAATAACCTAGGATCAAACAATATTACTACATTGTCGGCAATAAACTAGGCTCAAACAATGTTACCACATTGTCGGCAATAAACTAGGATCAAACAATATTACTACATTGTCGGCAATAAACTAGGCTCAAACAATATTACTACATTGTCGGCAATAAACTAGGATCAAACAATATTACTACATTGTCGGCAATAAACTAGGCTCAAACAATATTACTACATTGTCGGCAATAAACTAGGATCAAACAATATTACTACATTGTCGGCAATAACCTAGGATTAAACAGTATTACTACAATGTCGGCAATAAACTAGGATCAAACAATATCAAACAATATTACTACAATGTCGGCAATAAACTAGGATCAAACAATATCACTACAATGTCGGCAATAAACTAGGATCAAACAATATTACTACATTGTCGGCAATAAACTAGGCTCAAACAATATCAACACATACACAACAAACATGGTAGCACCAGGCCAGGGAAGAGAAGCCTTTTGAGTTTTAATTAAAGTGTAAGAATCAATATGCCCACATTATAATAAAATATTTCCATGAGTATATACACACACATATATATATCACTCAGTGGCTACAAAATGTAGCACTAGTTAGCTAAACCATGGAGCACACTGTAGCTACAACATGTAGCACTAGGTAGCTACAGCATGTAGCACCCAGTGTCTACACCATGTAGTACTCAGTGGCTACACCATGTAGCACTAGGTAGCAACACCTTATTGAATTAAGTAGCTAGATCACGTAGCACACAGTAGCTACATCATGTAGCACCCAGTGTCTACACCATGTAGTACTCAGTGGCTACACCATGTAGCACTAGGTAGCAACACCTTATTGAATTAAGTAGCTACATCATGTAGCACACAGTAGCTACATCATGTAGCACCCAGTGTCTACACCATGTAGTACTCAGTGGCTACACCATGTAGCACTAGGTAGCAACACCTTATTGAATTAAGTAGCTACATCATGCAGCACACAGTAGCTACATCATGTAGCACCCAGTGGCTACAGCATGTAGCACCCAGTAGCTACACTATGTAGCACCCAGTAGCTACACCATGTAGCAACCGTAACTACAGCATGTAGCACCCAGTAGCTACACCATGTAGCACCCAGTAACTACACAATGTAGCACCCAGTGGCTACCCACCACAAGAACTCACCTGCCACAGAAACAGCAACTAGCCCCAGCAAAAGGGCCCAGCATGATGATGTGCAGGTACTCCAGTAAGAAAATAACCACTGCATTATTCCCTCCCTTTAGACCTGGGTGAGCAGGGTATCCTCATAAGTGAATAACATTCCTGAAAGGTTAGCACACAAACATGAGACAAGAGCAGGATAATGGTGGCGGCACACCCTCAATTTATAAACTTTTCAAGGGCTAACATATCTACAATTTATATATTTTGAATCTGGGATTTAAATATATTATAATTATAATACTGTTTTTTAATCAATTCTTTTTGGGTTTTTTTTTGTTTCAATGTATTAATCTGACAGTAGATCTGAACATTTGATAAATCAACTAAATAATTGATGAGGTAAATGTATAAATTGTATAAATGATATGCTCAATTCTTGTGCTAGTTTTTTTTTTATAAATTTGTTATAGACTTTAACTATTATGTAAGATTAATTAATATTCAATGTTGATTTGTTTATTTTAAGTAAACAGATTGTGAAAATTAGAAAAATTATTCGATACTTTAAAAGAAAGAACTTGGACTAAAGGATTAAAAACTAGCCTTTATTGTCATGTAGGGTTTTTCATGAGTTATTTGATCTTTCTTCCTTATAATTCATCATCATTATAATCAACTGCAAAATATTTATACTTACAGCTAGTGGTATTTTTTAAAAACGTTTGATAGCTAAATTTAACTACTCATAATATAAGCATTGTTTATATGACAAGAAAAATCTACTATAATTGTCAACTGTTAAAAATGTTTCAAACAGTTATAAAATGGTATATTCTAAAACTATATAGCTTTTGTTTTTTAAACAATATTTTTTTTCTTTTCAGTGCATCAATTATAATATTATATTGAGGGTGATGAACATGAATTATCTTAATTATTTTTGTTAGTCATGAAAAAATTATAATTAGGCCTAAATATAAAATATAATACAGGGTTTACAGTTGTTTCAAGTAATTCAAGTATGTCCAGTTTACCTGCTTAACATAGACCTATTCAGTGACCACTGTGGTGAATACACACATTAAATCAAATGTGAATAAAATTTTAAATATAAGTTTGGCATCCATAATTTTGTTATAGGTTGATATAAATAATAAGTGCAGGTTAGTCTTCATCACCTGTAACATTTATTCATACAGGTCTAGAGTCTAGGTTGTAAGCTATTTGTATTTGGTTAAAATGCTTTACACGTAATTCACGTATTTTTAAAAATTCTTATGTTGGTGTCTACTAATTTGTTTTCTTTTATCGACAAAACAAAGTTTTAAAAACTGCCTCCTTTCTTACAATACCTATAAAATAGATCAATATAAGGCTAAAATAAAAACGTAAGGACTATACTAAATTAAAACTGCAAACTATTTAAATGACATTGATGTTTTAAGACCATATTAATATGGATTCCACATCAAGACAGAACTATGACTAGATTCTATGTGGTTGTACTAGGTAATGTTATATTATCAAATACATAGATCTACCGCATACAATGTTTTAAAAAAAAAAGGCTTTAAGTTAAATAGACCAAACTTAAATTTTAATTCGGCTGTTAATTCATTAACTTAATGTCAAGTTTGACTTAATAATTACTTATGAACTAGATCTAATTTTGCTGTATTTAAATTCATTTTAGGCCTAATACTTTTGCATGATAGGCCCCTAAGTGTAAGTATTATATTTATACGATCTAGATATAGGATCTAGGACTATTTATTTAAAATGTATTAAGAAATTTCATTGAATAGGGATAAGCCAATTAGGCCAAACTTTATTAATTTATTAACTAGGCCTACTAACTTCACAGCCGCTTATTTTCTAAATCATAGGACCTCGCAACTAAATTTATTTTATATCGGACAAAATGTATGAAATACTAAAATCAGTCCCCCGTCTAAAAATAAACCGGTAGTGATCTCCCCTAAACTTTCTCGAATATTCTTATATAAAACAACAAGGGGATGGTAACTGGGGATATAGTTATGATTTTTAATCCATTTTAAATACTAAAACTTTTAAAAATAGAATAGAATCTCAGTAAAAAACAATTGCGCACCAAGCGAACGCCTAATAAAGGTGTGTATAATAGTGCGCAATATTATTAGTACTTTTAAAATTTACATTAGTTTTTTGAGAAATCGGAAGTAGCGTAAATTACTACTTCCTGTCAACGGAAATTACTCAAAATTTAACAGAAGGTAGAGAATTAGATCTTTTACTTACATGTGAAATTTCATTTATCTATCTGAAATAGTACTCAAGTTATAGGCTTTTAAAAAATTCAAAGTAGGAAAAGTACCACTTCCGGTTATCGGAAATCGCTCAAAAGTTGATACGGATCTACGATTTTGATAAAATACTTATATATGAAATTTCATCAACCTAGCTGTAACGGTACTCAAGTTATCGTGTTTACACACGGACAGACAGACAGACAGACAGACACACACACACACAGACATACGGACAAGATTGCAAAATTATGTTTTTCCGTATCAGTGAGGTGTAAAACGTCGAGATTTGTAAAAATCTCGATTTTTTTTTTTGCACGATTACAATACTTTCTCTATACTACGTATATACGAGAAAGTAAAAAACAAAGCGAGTCTAATTAATTGTATCCGAATTATTAAAACCCGAACTACCAAAAACAAAACAAGCGTAATCGACTACGCTGTTAAAATCTAGATTCTAGTACTGGGAAAAAATCGACTGGTGGTTGGGAGGGGGGGGGGGGGGGGCATAAAAAATGGCGCAGAAGTATTGACCAGCGACCGATAAATTTAACCTAAATTATTTATTTTAAACGACAGGGGTAATATTCACTAGCTCTGTAAATAGGTCATTTAATACAATTACACGTTATCAAACGAACACATTCATTAAATAATATATTATTAAAATAACAACCTAGTATATTCAATGCGAAATCATCGAAGTATGTTAAAATCGCGGGAATAAACATAAAAAACACACCTCGTTTTTTAGGGAAACTCCATCACCACGGGCAAGCCTGCAGTGTATAAGAAACGAGACTGTGGATAGGGGTTTTGATAAGGTTTTTTTTTAAAAATAATACTCCAAAAGAAAAATGCGAATGCTAGCACTACACACACATTGAAACGCAATCAGCGGGTTGGTTTACGCTATAAATATCCATTGATAAAATCCGTTTAGAGCGAATAACTGGGATTAGTGATGTTAGCGTCGACAGTACGATTTCCTACACCACGAAACTAAACAAACTAAGCGTGTTGTCATTTCGCAGGGAGCTTAATTAACCTCTCTCCATATAAGGTCTTCTGACGTCACGGCCTTCAGAAGCAGTGCCACCTATTGAACGTTAATGTAGGGCATTGGGTTTGACTGCGCCGTTGCAGATAGAACGATGCGAGAGGGCTTATGCTTCCAATAAAAAAAACCAAGCAATAAAATTCAAAAGTGCACAATTATAATTCCATTTCATTTTTATCTGGTTGCATAAAGGCTTTAAACCCGGGCCTATGATCTGGGGAGTTCGGAGTGTTGAAAATATAAACACAGCGCTGACCTCGATTTCAATCGATTTGACCTACTTTTTTAGAACAGGTAATTGGGTCTTGGCAAACAACTTGTGAATTTATTATCAAGGTTTTGATAGAGGGGTTGATAAGGAGATTAGAATGGCATTGTTCCGTTTTTTCCCCAGCCAACTATAATCTATAGGTATTTATCGAGTAAGTTTAAACTTGAATCCTGATCTGGCTAGAGAAAAACTAGGATAAGAATGTTTGTATGTAAAGGGTGTATGTTTTACCGAGGCCACAGCACACTTAAGAGGGTTTAAATTTTTTTAAAAAGAAAAACAACATAATTGTATTGTAAACAATGGACGAATATAGATTTTGTTGTAAATATTTGTTTTAATTTTAAGAAAAGGTGTTATTTTCAGAACAGTTGTGTGTGGTCTTCAGTTGTGTTTTTATCAATAAAACGACAGGGGAATAGAAATGTATTAGGCGTTGTTTATTTGTGGTTCAATTTGAAGAGAAAGTTTTCTTAAATTTCAAATCACACTAATATATTCCGGTAATGGATTACATATTTAATTACATATTTAAAAGTGAATGGCCGTTATAGTTTTAAAGCGTGGATTCACATCCAGTCGCGTAGGTTCTGATTTACGGGAAATTGTGTAGGCCTAACCCCTCTCTTCCTCATAGTGTTGGGTGTCCCAGCATTCCTCATATTGTGCACCCTCTTCCTCATATGGTGCACCCCCTTCCTCATTGTGTGCCCCATTCCTCCTATTGTAAAAAGTGTGATTGTGTGCTTCTTCATATTTTTAACGTATTTCGCCAGCCACCCCAAGCGTGTCTAGAAAAACTTATTGAGTCCTCGTGTTGTTCATGTGGTGTTGTTTTTTTCTTCTTTTTTTTGTTACACATACGCACGCTTCCCTGCCAAAGTTGTTTGTAATTAGTGAATGGAAGTGACGTCACCCCCTCTGCTTCCTCGTACACATACGATATTATAAAATTAAAGACGATTCGGTGTCACCCCCCAGAGATAGAATTAGTCATCTTTTAGGGGGTGGAGACGGAATAGAATAACTATATAATTTATATAGCTAACATTTACATAAACCAGTGTCTGCCCCCCCCCCCCCCCCCCGCCGGGAATACTTGAAAAAGCAAACTTTCTTTTTCGTGAGTTGTCACCCCCTCTCACCCCCTTTGAATGGTGTCACTCGATACGGGCGGCACCCCCGCAACCACCTTGTGATGCCATTGGGGAACGGCCAGGTTAGCGTCTTTTTAATAAAAAAATAAATATTATATTTATATGATAATTTTATACAGGTTATAACTTTAAAGAAAGATAACTCTATAAATGTCAAACACTTTAAAAAACACGAAGCTATTTCCCCTTATACGCTAAACCTAATGCCTGTTATAAAATTAAAGGGATTTGTGTTGTGATTGTTAAACAAGTGTTATAATGTTATAATTTTACATTAAAATTTTCTAGGTATAATTTTTTACACACAGCTCTCAGGTTTCAGTACTTTAATGGAGGAGTGTGTGTGTGTGTGTGTGTGTGTGTGGGGGGGGGGGGGGGGTTAAAACAAAAAAGTCTTAGTGTGATACAGTCAACGATAATAAGATAATTTCAGATACAGCCGTACCGTAAGAAAGTTTTTAGTTAGGTGAACTTAATTACACACACAAGTTCTAATTCCGATAAACTCGCTTTGTTAATCCTATAGGTCTGTGAGCAGTTTTAAAAAATAAACACATCGGTCTAAGTTGGAGACAAGAATTAACACATTTGTCTCCAAACAAACAACAAAAAATAAACCCACGGGACAAATACGAACATTTACAATTTTTATCCATTTTAACAGGTAATTTTGGCATCAGTGTTGCCCTGTTATATCTTGTTCACTTTTGTATCATTGTTTTCATCGTTGACTTGTGACCACTGATATAGATTTACAATACATGTAATCAGAACTCTTTCTGACGTAACCTTCATTCACTTTAGTTTACATATAGGCCGCCTACTTAATACAAAACCTCTTAACTTTTTTTTATCAAACCTGAAGTTTCAATTTATCGGTTAATTAATTAATTGTTAATTAGAAAGGGAGACGTTGGGAGAAGAAAACCTCGAGAGTTTGAGCTGAAATATTGGCAGTGGTATAATAATTAGTAGCATGTAGAAGACACTAAAAATGAGGCATTCTTTTCATTCAGATAGCTATACCCATAACATTCCCACAAACAATATCATTTTTTTTCCTTTTTTTTTTTTGCAATATGATTTCAATACATTTTTTTTTTTAAATACTTTTATTTGCAATTTAAAACAAGTACATCAACATCAAATTATTGACATAATTTCGAACATCAAATGAAAACGAAAGGTTTTGCAAATGTACACAATGAATATTTACAAGATGTCATGTATGTGATTATACAAAATTGAAAGGCATAACAGTAAAGGGGGTGAAGGTCAAATGCAAGTGACAGGAGTCGGGGTGAGAAGTGGAGGGGAAATTATTCACAGAGGGGGTGGGGTTGTGTAATTTTTTTTTTATTAATCCAATTGTTTTAAACATTTAAATCAGTAATAATAATTTATTTGATAGATTTTACACAGCATCAAAGACATGAACATCAATTGCATATATAATAATCAAAGGGAGAAAATAAAATGGCATAAGAACTAGACTAAAATAAGGTGTGCAAACTAGGTTTCTCTTGACTGCTTAGTTTACTGTGCTCTGTCCTTAGCTGAGGAGTCAAAAGTTCACAATGTAGCCACCCATGGACAGAAATAGAAACGACCGTGGGAGAAGTGTCGCTGTAATACACATACTGATCTATCATTCCAAAACTTTCCATGACATAAAATTGACCCTTGGCAATACAAATAAGTTCTCATTTATATAGAGAACACCTAGCCAATACACTTAGGCAATTCTACTAGGACCCTAAATAACAGGTTAAATTATAGTTTAAATTGTGATTCATTTTTGTATTTGTGCACTATAAAAAAGAAGTACACGAATTATTTGTAGGAACTTTGTAAATAAACCTAGAAAAAAAAAATTTTGTTTTGAAATATCGCGAAATGTAGGCAATAGTTTAAAAGTGTACTGTTATATAATTCAGTAATGAAGATTATTTCCCCTTCTCTATATTAGCTCCCTTTAATTAATAATTATTTCTACATTTGATTTTAAAAAGCAAAAATACATTTATCTTCCACTAAGCCAATTCATTTATAGGGGAAAATCTATCAATATCTTAATAAAATAATTGCAGCCACATTTAATTTAAAGTTTGGTAAGCTGATATTTTGGAAAACTGTGTTGACAAAATAAGTGCTTCAGTGTGGTGTTTGTGTGGGATTTGGTGTGTATGATGTGGGGGGGGGGGGGAGCGATTGTGTGTGAATCGTGGGGTTTTAGGGTTTGTGGTGTGGGTCGTGCTATGTGGCATAGAGGGATGTGGTGTGGTGTGGGGTGGCTGTAGGGGGGGGGTTGTGTGGGGTGGCTGTAGGGGGGGGTTGTGTGGGCTGGCTGTAGGGCGGGTGGTGTGGGGTGGCTGTAGGGGGGGGGTTGTGTGGGCTGGCTGTAGGGCGGGTGGTGTGGGGTGGCTGTAGGGTGGGTGGTGTGGGGTGGCTGTAGGGTGGGTGGTGTGGGGTGGCTGTAGGGTGGCTAGTGTGTGGGGTGGCTGTAGGGTGGGTGGTATGGCTGTAGGGTGGGTGGTGTGAAATTTGCTTTTGGGTTTGGTTCGTGGTGTCTTAAGTAGTTCACAGTGACCTCAGCATTTGAAGGGATAAATTGGTCAGCGTTATATAAGCCCAGTCGTTTTACTCACCCTTACATAAATCTCGTTTTACTAACCCTAACATAAATCCGATACCCATCATAGCTTGGTTGACTCAGTGTCGTTGTACGGACTCTAGCCCGGGATTTAAACTCGAGACTTTTGTGTTAGAAATCAAAAGCTCTACCATTTGATCTACGACGAGTGTGGTGCGCGTATAATTTCCCTTTAGTTGTTTTTTTTTTTTAAATATCTTTGAACTTATTTAGAATCTATATCTTTTAATTTTTTTCAAGAATTACATTAATTACAACAACAAAAAATGTAATGTCCTTGTCTTTTCTGTACTTTGTCTGGATTTGTCTGAGCAAATCTATTTTTAAGCTCATTCTCGACGACTCAGGCGCCTTCGTTGACCAACAAAATATAGGCACATTTATTAAGCCCCCGGCCCCCACACCAGGAGAAAAAAAATTGATTTGTCGCTTATTTTCGCAGCAGTAGCTGATTCCATTTTAATAAAAGTACTTTAAAGCGAATTTACTTTTAATTGAGCGACCCGGAAGCTATTGTTCTATATATTTACGCATGCGCGAAGTCTGAATTGTCATTCATAGATTTAGTTGGAAAAAAATACATCTGAATCTGGTAGATGTCACTAGACTAGACTGGCAAGACTCAGATTACTATTCTTGACTAGTCATAGTGGGTGTTGGTCAATGGTAGTTGTGAAATTTTAATGGATGCATTACAATTCTAATCAACCGTAGACCTATAAAGGTATGTCAGCTTTGTCTTCTTTTAAATTATGATAGGCCTAGTTGATGTGAAACAAACTGTGATTCACTCACAACACTAACCTAGCCTAACACACTGCAACAGCAACTCACTACAGTACACTCACTACAGACTAGTCTACAGTACAAGTACACAGATGAGATTGTCTCACACACTTTACAGTTTACAGATAATCTGACCTGATAGATCTACAGTAGTCTAGCTAGAGTCTAGATGTCTAGGCCTAGAATCTAGATCTAGAATCTAGTAGATCTAGCTCTACTACAATTCTACAAGTACAAGAATTAAAAGTAATTCTAGTTCGAATCAGGATTCTATTTACTATTTATTTAGCCTAGTATTTTTTTTAGTTTGTCTATAGGCCCTAATTCTAGAGAGGTAAACTATATAAAATATAACGAAGTGACTACTGACTACTCGGAAGAAGATATTTCTCCCCAACGTTTCCACTTAGGTCTTAGTCGGCAAAAGATAGCTCTGCGCATGCGCAGTGAACTAGGGTTAGGGCTAGATTTAGGGTTAGGGATAGGATTATGGCTAGGGATAGGATTAGGGATAAGGTTAGGGTTGGTGTTAGGGTTCTGCCGTTGTAAACACACGCATGCCCAGTACCGTCGAAACATCGCCGCAATGGCAAATCGTAGTTTCTCTCCATTGCGCATGCGTATCTTTTTCCGGCTAGCATCGGCCAAAATATAATTAGGCCTAATATATTATAATTTAAATTCTTTGTAGGCCAGGCTAATGATCAGCTAATCTCATTTAGGGGAATTTTCTTTACCAGCGTCCCATGATAATAATGGAATATTAATAAAATCAGCATTGTCAAACATCCCTCATATATTTAATCTAGAATAGAATTATAACCCCATTTGTTTCACATTGATGAACCCTTCTCTAATTTAAAGTAATAGTTCAGTTGTCTGCTTTAACAAAATCTGATTTGAATCATAAGTCAGGTGTGTGTCTAGATCTAGACCTCTGCTAAACCACAGAGACTGACTAACCTGTGGTTGACCAGGTAGTCCAATATATATCTAGTCAACTGTCAATATTGCTAACTGATAGATTTTAGTAGATTCACTAGGTTTACATCTGGAATTCTGTATAATCTAAGTATTTACATAAATCTAGATTTAGGAGCTAGTGTTTTTGGATTAATGAAAGAAATAACTTATTACTCATTATGCTATACTAAAGCGGTTTCAGATCCCTGCAGAAGTCCATGTTGAAGTATTAAAATTTTAAAAGAAACTTCAAACTCTATCCTGCGTATAAAAAGTGAAAATGAGATGACATTGCTCGTGTTTAATAAAGACACCTCTAGTTTCTACCTTTGATATTTAGGCCTAATAATAAACATTATCAATAAAATACTAAAGTTTTATATCAGTTATTAGGTAGGCCTACACAATGCATGTTATTGAAAGAGTAACTTGGTTGCAGTTGAAGGTTCTACTAGATTTTTATTGATGACCACATAGAGGAGGAGGGTTCATCAAAACTGGACCGTATAAGGGAGGAGGGTTCATCAAAAGTGGACGGTGTCTAGCAGATTTGGGGGCGGTTTATTATTTCCCATGTTATTCTCTTAACTTAATTCTTTTCAATATTTTATTAGGCCTATGTGAAATCAATATTTATTTCACATTATTTTAAAAAAATTGATTGTTTTGTGCATTTTAAATTTTGCACCAGTGTGAAGTATGAATGGGAATATAAATTAAGGTGTGTGTTGGTTCTTTGGAGTATGTATTTTAATGCGTGGTGTAATGTGTTATTTCCCCGTCTTCTATTTGCTCCCCTTGATTTAATATTGTTATATATATAAACTTGTTGTACAAGGAAACAGATTTGTGTCTTTTTTCTGCTCTCACAATAGTCCAGAATTTTCAGAGTATTTTTTATTGTATATTAACATATATATAATAAGTGCAGTATTTAAAAATAGATATAGATGTATTTATTAGTATTGAAAAATCGGATGATTATAGATACCAGTGTCCGATAATGGAATCTTCTTTAAAAAAGGGGTGTTGGGTTGTTAGAAGTATTGTAATCTCGACTAATTTTATGGTTAGAAATTAGGGTTAGGCGTATGGTTGGACCAGGGTTGGGGTTAGGGACAGGGTTAGCATTGACATTAGCCAGCCATGTGTGTATTTAGTTAACTACCAGTAACCTAACACCCCTTTTTTAAAGAAGATTCCATTATCAGACTACGGTGTAAACATTCTCCCGAAAAATCTATTATCAATCAATACATCAGTATTAGAAAAAGTAGAAAAGATTGCTTCTATGTTGAAACAATAAATCATTATTAGATATTTATTCTTGATGTACATGAATATGCATGAAATCAACACATGCATGATTTCAAAGTTATGGCATTATTTTATTTTTATTCTGCCTACTTTGTAAACACTGACCTTTTTGTTTTTATTATTCAGGAACCTGTGTAGTGTATAGATATATATGTCATAATTTAGCATGTTTACATATGATAATTGTATGTGTGAGTCTGTTTATATCTGTGAAAGGTAAACAAGATAAATGCCAACACTAGGTCCAACTCCTATTTCTGATTTAATAATTTCAATAGTGAGTCATGTGTTTTTAAAGCAGATATATTTAAACAATATTGATAACAGCCTATATTATGGTCCTGGGATTTGTGTTCTTGGCACTTGAGGATCCCCAGCCATGATTTACTGTCCCTCAGGTTTCCATGTGTTTTCTTGGTATAGTTTCTGGTTAAATTTTACCTTGTTTCTATTTGGTGTGTTTCTTACTCATTGTTTAGCTTTTTGTTTTTATCCAGTTGGAATAGTTCCAGTTTTTAACCTTTGATGCCAGCCATCTTTGTTGTGTCTGGTCATGCATTGGGTCTAGAAAAATGACATTTGCATAGCTTGACCACAACAACACTGGGTAACTGGCTGCATACAGCAGGGGTCCTGTATACACTAAGCTTTATTGAAAGGGCAGTAGGTATTGTAAATATTTAGTGGGCCTATGGTTTGTTGTAAGGACAGTAGGTATTGTAAATATTTAGTGGGCCTTTGGTTTGTTGTAAGGACAGTAGGTATTGTAAGGACAGTAGGTATTGTAAATATTTAGTGGGCCTCTGGTTTGTAGTGAGTCCTGATGGAAAAGTAGGCGGGGAGGTAGTTCTCAACGTTATGCTGCACACACTTTATGAACCACTGGCTGACCTTGCTGGTGACCTTCACCTTCCTAAATATAGGCTTCTCCGTGAACACATATCTTGGTCACGGTGGAGCGGAGCGAGACCACTCGACTGCATGCACCGATGCGGTGGTCCAGTATTGTGGTGAACAGATGGTGTGTTGGTGTGTTTGTTGATAAAGTGGACCTCAGTGTGTGAGCCGTTTATGAGACTTTTTATCTCGTCTGTCTGTTGTTCACGTGACCAGGTCGTGCTTGATTGTTTTTTACCTTGCGTCTATCAAAAACCAACTTGTATTTCACGGGGAGGAACGACCCCCACCCCCCCCCTTCCCTATTTGTCCTGAAAGCAGAGCATGCTGCTAAAAATAAGGTGGCACCGATTCTATTTTTACCTTCCGTTCATCATGTGCCAAAAGCAGCAGTCAGACGTATCAAAATGTTACGGATGTCGCCGTGTGTTTGAATACGCTCTTGTGTCATTCGCTCATGACGTCAAGCTTGGGGGGGGGGGGGGTGTCTCACCGTGCTTGACGTCAGGGGTTACATGTAAGGGGCGGGTGTCTGGTGGTGTCTGACGTCTAATTAACAGAACGCCATTGATTTTATCAGACGTAAACATTGTTTGCACTACAAGGCTTGTTCCTACTACTATATTTAATTGTAGTCTTGATAGGGAGAGTTGTCATCTAGCTTATGTGAAGCCGGTGGTCCACCATCTGGTTGTTCCAGATTCTGGTTGTGTCACGTGTAACCAGATTCACGACCGTTTATGTTATACGACACCTGTATTTGTTAGCAGACGTGGGTGGAGGTTCACGTTACCAAGTCTTGAACTACATTCCTTTAACCAACTTTCACGCGAGATGCGCCATTTGTACGCTCGTGTTTTGCTAGTTTGTGGCACTGCATTCTTCTTTGTGGACTACTTGACTTGATTGTGAGGGGGTGAGGATTCCACGCATATCTGGTTTACCAGAGTGATTATCTGGTTGTTTAACCCCACCATGTTGTGTGCATGTGTTGCATGGGCAGGGCTTACCTCGTGAACTCTCGCTAAAGGTCACCTGATATTTCTGGCAGTGGTGCACTCAGCTGCGGTTATGTGGGTCAAATGTATCTGATCTGACGAGCGAGTCTAGACTACAGACGCCATTGTTGTGGTTCACGCTTCATCTGTCTCCTACGTCTGCCTCGGTGCCTGCTCAGCTTCACTAGTTATAAAACTACACGGTTCATAGATTTTTTTTAGATAACCCGTTATTTAAACCACGTAACGTTGGAGGTTGGAAAAAAATAACACTACTGGCATGCGCCCCTCTCTCCCCCCACTCCGCCTGACATAGTAGGTCAGCGCCCGCTCTATATCCGCGCAGTCTGTAAGCGGTGTTACCACTTCCGAGTAGAGTCTTCCCTTGCTCCTGTCAGCGGGGCCAGTGTGTTTACTACAGCGGTACGCTCTCACAGTCTCACACTACCCTGCTTGTTACACCAAGCTGGAATTGTTCACTATTTCACTAGGGAGTTTTCTTTTCACGGTACGTTATTAAGGTGTTTTCATTCTATTATATTTAGCTTATATTTACAAGTAAGTATACAAACCATATTTCTGTAAACGCTATTTTATATTTTGATTTCTTTGTAATTTTTCACGAGTTCGAATAGTAGTTCAAAGTTACTGGCTAATAGACAGGCTATGTACCCAGGTGCTGACTTAGTCTCAGTTGTCTGTACTGTCTACACCAGAGACTTGTCAGGCCGTAGCTGTCATTGGTAGTTTATTATCAAACAGT